ACCTCTAGTATTACCCTTTGCTAAATCATGTGTCATGTATTTGAAATATTTATTTTGGCAATAATTTATAAATTGATTTATTTTTAATTTTAATGTACATTTTTCAACTTTAATTCAAAAAAAATTATTTTTTAAATTTATTTAGACTAGAAGGTGGTATTGAATTAAAAAAAATAGAAAACATTTGAAATTTTTTATAAATTACTAGCCTAAATTTAACTTTCACTCAATAATCCAAATTTAAATCCCACCAAAGTCTGACCTAATATTGGATAGATTAATGAATTTTTCCAGCAAATGAATAAATTTAGAGCTTTAAAATTTTTTCAAGAATACAAATATAACATTATCTAATGCTTAAAATTGAACCTTTCAAATTCAGCGGAAAAAAGCCATTCTTTTTAAAATAGTGGGCACATTTAATGAGCAGGGCAATGGGCCAGCTTGGCCCAACCTAATAGGGATGGCAATGGATAACATGCCCTGTAGGTATCTATGGAGACCCAATCTAAATACATGGGTTTTTCCCTCTTTTTCTTATCTATTGGGTAGGGTAAGTAATATTCTTTAAATATCCACAGGGGATGGGTTGGGGATGGATACCCACTAATTTCTCCATATGTTTTTTTTTTTTTTTATTTTTAAACCTAAAAAAAAAAAAAAAAAAGTGGTTGTTAACATTAAATATAAAAAATAAAAATGGGGATTAAAGTGGGTTGGAGAAAATCCATACCCATTAAAAATTGGGGAGGGTGGTACCCATGGAGAATGGAGAATGGGGAATGGGAAAAATTTATTATAGGGGAATGGGGATGGAGAATTAATATCCACCCCATTGCCCCCCATTGACATTCCTACAACCTAAGAATGGCGGACAACCATTAGGTTCAAGACGACTACGGGCTTTTGTTTTATGAGATTGAGGCATATGATTATACTATGATTTTTTTTTTTGTGATTTTATTTACACATTATCAATCTTTTTAATACATACCATTACTTAGTTTACACCAATAATATTTTAAACTTTTGATTTTTCACTCAACACATATCATAATATTACTCTTTTAGTCTAACTCACACAACATAATATACACTCTAACACAATATGATGTACACACCATCAAAGTTGAAAATAAAATAAGGTCTAAAATACAATTCATGGTAATTTTATTTTCATGTGTCTCTTTCTCTTTCTCCTCGATTTGTGTTGAATCTGTGGAAGCAATGTGAGAGTAAACGACTAGAACTAAGCGGCGGGTTGAAATTTTATGGCGACTAAGCAATCAGTGTGATATTCTACAAAAATTTAAACAAAAAAATATTTTTTTATTATTTGTAAATATATTGTTGAAAAAATTTAATATGTTCACAGACTTATATTCGAACAAAACCAAAATGTTCATTTTTTTTTTATTATGTATGAACTTTAATAATATGAACAAAATGATTCTGTTAAAATATAAATAATTAAACATTTTGTAAATGTTTAATTCTGCCTGCGTACAGAACGAACAAACCATTGTTGTAAAGATGAACATCGATTTTTTGTTCCAAATCAATACGAAGACATTTGCATTACTGTTTTGTTTCCAAATTAATGTCATTCATAATATGTAAATCTTTAAAATCAATTGATTTCAATGTTTTAAAACTGTAAATCTTCCAAAACAATAATATTTTGAATTTGATAAATAATAGAGAATAGATTTTTTCTAGGTGATGGCGTGTATAGAGAAATTTGTGTTTTCATATGTGAATTGTTAAAATGAATATATACATGCCCATATTGTCTTTAATAGTCATTTTACTTGAGGATATTATTGTCATATAAATTTAATGGTTAAATGGTATATATGTACTGAGAGGATTGATGATATGTAAATAAAATTACCTTCTTTTTTTTTTCTTTCTTTTTTTTTTTTTTGAATAAAAGACAATTTTAGTCCTTAAAGTATGCATTTTTTGTCATTTTAGTCCCTTAAGTTTTAAATTTTGTCATTTTTGGTCTTCAAAGTTGTCAATTTGAGTCAATTTGGTCCTAGGTTTAACATCTATTAACAGAGATATAACTAAAAGACAGTTTTGGTTCATAAAGTATGCATTTCTTGTCATTTTAGTACTCAAGTTTTAAATTTTGTCATTTTAGTCCTCAAAGTTGTCAATTTGAGTCAAATTAGTCCTATCTCAAATCAACAACTTTGAGGACCAAAATGACAAAATTTAAAACTTGAGAGACTAAATGACAATAAATGTATATTTTAGGGACCAAAGTTGTCTTTTATTCATATTTATGTTAATAGACGTTAAACCTAGGACCAAATTGACTCAAATTGACACATTTGAGATCAAAATGACAAAATTAAAACTTAAGGGACTAAAATGACAGACTGCATACTTTAGGAACTAAAACTGCTTTTTATCCCCCCTCTCTCTTTCTCTCTCTTGTTGCCAAAGGTAGATTTCATTGATAGACAAAAATACATGTATCAAGGGTGATTATCCTCATCTCTAAAAGGAATTACAGCCAACATTCTGTTTTCCAAACACAAGCACTTGACATTTAACAACCATAACCCGTAACATTCTGTGACCACGACCAACAAGCATAATCACAACATACTGCGGCCGCCAACCAATAACCATATCTATAACATAATGCAACTGACAATAACAGAGACAAACCCAAATCTCCATGGATGAGAAAGAAAAGCCACCACAAAAGAAGGAAAAAAAATAAGAAAACAAAATACAAAAAACATACAAAAAAATCAATAGAAAACCAGATTCGCATGATCCGTAGCGTAGGACAGGCAAGCAACTCAGGAGTCGGCCTTAGATCTGTAGCCCATAGACGCGATAGAAGCCTAAATGGTAGAAAGCCTTAGATCGGAGGGTAAAAGACCAAACTTAATGTAAATATGTCAAAATTGTGAGATTTACTGTATTTTCTTCAAATTTCAAGTGAGGTCAGTGTAATTTACCATATTTAATATATATTTTATATGAAATATTAATGTTGACATTTTTTCAAACAAAAGGTGGGATTTTGGTCATGGGTCAAGTTTGGGGTGGGTTTATAGTAATTCACTCCTCCCCCCGGCTCCGTATCATATCAAGGGAAGGGCAGATCAAGGGGATGGCGGGTGCAGTGCGGGAAACGAGTTAATTTTGTAAATTGAAGAATAATAATATTAATGAAAATTGTTTAATTTTTTAACTTTAAAAATAAGAAATTAATAAAAATTTTAGATAATATAATATATTACAGATAATAATTTATATTTAATGAGAATTATAAAATATAAGATAGAAAATAAATGAGTAAAAATTAATATTAAGTACAATATTTTAATATTTTAATTTTATTATAATGAAAAGAAATCAAATTATATATTACATACATAGAAATATATTTAATAAATATAATTGGGGCGGGGTTCATGTGGACTGGAGCGGGAGAAGCAAAATCCATCCCCACCCCACTTTTTAGTCGAGGATGGAAAATCCGTGCAGGGCGAGACGGGGATGCAAGTAGAGTAGGGTGAGAGAAAATGACCATCCATAAATGAGAATATAAGATGTTATTTTAATGCTCATCATTGGTTCTAGAAAATAGATTTAAAAAATAGAATTATATATCATTTTCTTATTAAATATGTAGGTAAACACAATACCTAAATATAATCAATCTAGCATTACTTGAGAGAATCAATGGCAGGATTGATCTAAGGGGTTTAAATACTAGAGAGACTCTACAAATCATCAAAACATTTCAAAAACTCTTCACCTATAATGAAATTTTTAATGCCGCATGATAAATCTGACCATGTTCTAAATCTGGTGCATCGTACATATGAATACATATAAAAAATGAATTAAAAAAATAACATAAATTTAATAATAAATAACACTTCTCATCAGCATAATCATTAATATCATTAGGCAGAGAAGTGATAATAACTCATAATCTAATGTCAAAGGCATGTGGAAGACACATAATAATGATGGGATTGCAGCATATAAGGTCAAAGGATAGCCATGTGAGGTTGCAAGTCATATGATTTTAGTTTAAGCAAAATATTCCATCAAGTAGATCATTCAATATGTTGTATTTTTTTTCTCCATATAGCAACAACCAGTACCATCCACATTATTAAAAAAATGTGCAAAAAAAAATTAAACAATTTGGTTAGTGGTTTTTGACATATTCACGGCTCTTCTGTTGGGAAAACCATGTGAGGGTTGGAAGGAAGAGAACATGGGAATAGTTGAATGAGGTTCACAATGTCTTCTAACTTGCACAGATAAATTCAATTTTAAAAAAGAAAAGAAAAGAAAAGTAAATTATATCATTGGTGTTTCAATTTGAGTGAAATTTTATTTTGGTCCATATAATTTATATTTTGTCATTTAAACTTCACACTTCTCATTTTATTTTTCAATGTGGTCCTTTCTCCTAGTAGTAGCTTTTAACATTTTGGACGAAAAAAAAATAGCATGCACAAAAGTTGACGGACAAAAGTGGAATTTCAAAGAGCAAGGTTGTAGCCCAAGTGATCATGAGGTGTCACTTTGGTGATAGTAAGGTGAAATATGAAGTTCAAGTCAATGGATTGGTGCCAGTTTATTATGGTGATTTAACTCTTAAAAAAAAAAGTGAAATTTGAAAGAAATTACAAAGATCATTAGTATAATTTATTCAATTTTCTTTTTTGTGTTGCAATTGCTAAAGCTTTCACGTGAGTTGCACATGGTTTTTTTTTTTTTAACTCCAAAATGCTACCGGCAAACAAAAGAGGGACGTTATTGAAGTGCAACTAGAAGGGTTAGTTTTAAATTAATAAAATTGAAACTGTGGGGATTAAAATAAAATTTCACTCAAACTAAAGGGACCAACGGTGCAATTTAGCATAAAGAAAATCTAGAGTTCTCTCTATTTGCAGAGATCACATGTTAGTGTTTTTTCATTATACAGTTCTGGTTTCTATTTAAGAAGGTCTTCTTGTGTTTGGAGAAGCATTGGATCAAAACACATTCCCTTTTCCTCACCCCTCTCCCTCATCTTCTTTGTCATTTATCTTCTGTCATTGGCCTAGAAACCCAAAATGGCAAACAATGGCATTCTTGCAATGGTGATCTTAGTTGGTATTTGTAATATTTTCATCAATGTCAATGCATTTGTGGCTTCTGATTGGACAAAAGCTCATGCTACTTTCTATGGAGGCAGTGATGCCTCTGGAACAATGGGTATGTAATGTATGACCCTTTCTGATTTCTACGTTGGTGTTTTTGGTTTTCCTAAGAAGAATAGTAATATAAAAATGTCATATATTCAGAAAAAAATATTTTAACCAGTGTTCAAAATGGGTTCTTTTTATATATATATATATATATATATTTTTTTTTGGGTTTTTTTTTTATATTATTTATTTATATATATATATATATATTTTATCATGGTTTTCTACAATTATCTTGATGTGCTTTTATCATAGTAAGACATGCTAACAAAATATATAATCTAACGGTTTAAGTTAAAATTGAAGTAAAATGAAATTAAAACGACAAATTCTAAAACAAAGAACTTTACTTCAACTTTAAACATCTGCCGTTGGATTATTACAATAAAACCATTGTAAAGAGAATATCCATTGTAGAGAATCCAGATCTGAATCGTTTATATAAAAATGTCATATATTCAGAAAAAAATATTTTAACCAGTGTTCAAAATGGGTTTTTTTTTTATATTATTTATTTATATATATATATATATATTTTATCATGGTTTTCTACAATTATCTTGATGTGCTTTTATCATAGTAAGACATGCTAACAAAATATATAATCTAACGGTTTAAGTTAAAATTGAAGTAAAATGACATTAAAATCACAAATTCTAAAACAAAGAACTTTACTTCAACTTTAAACATATGCCGTTGGATTATTACAATAAAACCATTGTAAAGAGAATATCCATTGTAGAGAATCCAGATCTAAATCGTTTAAATGTATGGTGTAGATTTAAACTTGGTGACATGTGGATTACACCCGTGATAAATCTAATCCATCTTTCAAAATTCTGGATATTTTTTTTTTGATACACAACATTACTATGAAAAAGAGTTACATAACTTTTAGACCAAAATGATGAAGCACTGTGATTGTCACATTTTTAAAAACATAAGTCATCTTCATATGTCTTTTAAGTTTAGAAAACGATTAAAAAATATTTATTTATTTTTTCAATTATGAGTTTTATTAGTGAGTGTTTTGGCTTGATTGGATACAGGAGGTGCATGTGGGTATGGAAACTTGTACTCAACTGGATATGGGACAAGGACAGCAGCATTAAGCACAGCATTGTTCAATAATGGAGCTGCATGTGGGCAGTGCTACAAGATCATGTGTGACTATCAATCTGACCCACAATGGTGCAAGAAAGGAACATCTGTGACTGTTACTGCAACAAACTTTTGCCCACCAAACTTTGACCAACCAAGCAATGCTGGAGGCTGGTGCAACCCTCCCCTTCAGCATTTTGATATGGCTCAGCCTGCTTGGGAAAAGATTGGCATTTTCAAAGGAGGAATTGTCCCTGTCATGTTCAAAAGGTATTAATTTTCTCCATTATTCTCTTCTCTCATTTTTTTACAATGGATATTTTTTTAAGTGGATGAGAGAAGCACTGGTCGGATCAGTCGGACAATGGGGCTGCCAGTGATCTGACTTGTTTGTTTCGTAGTTTTGTGTGTAGATTATCTATGAAAATAAATCTAGTCACATAATTTTACCAAGTTTATTTAAAAAATATGAACAGTTACTTGTGGTCTAATGTTTTTAAAATAAAATTTGATAAAATTATGTCAGTACGGTTATTGAATAATAAATTTGATTTTTTTTCTTAGATGATCTATATACATAGGGCTACACAATGATTTGCTTAGATCATCAAAATACAACCTGTAACCGACCCGATAGGCTTAACTTTGAAAGAAGCCAGTCCCTTTTTAAAGGAATAAAATTACCAACTAGACCATATTGTTAAGCTCCAGTGGGCCCATTATGGAATCCACCTCGATGGTCCAAACCGTTCATTTTGTAGAGTCTTTTGCATAAATTATTCTTGTAAAAATTTTAATTGATTAGGGATATATAAGGTTGTCCAATCAATATGATTTTTTTTTTTTAAATATATATATATATATAGGCAATCTACTTAGAGGGTCTTCCAAAATTAATAGTTTTAGATCATTGAATTGGGATATGTGATGAGCCTATTGAAGCCCAATAATACAACAAGTGGAGAGATGCTCACTCTGTTTTTAAAATATTTTTCCAGATAGATAACATTCTTGATAAATTAGTGGCTTATAATTTTGTAATTTTTACGTGGGTGTAGGGTTCCTTGCAAGAAACATGGTGGAGTTAGATTCATGATCAATGGAAGGGACTACTTTGAACTGGTCATGATAAGCAATGTGGGAGGGGCTGGATCTATTCAATCTGTGTCTATCAAAGGTTCAAGGACTGATTGGATGCCAATGTCAATGAACTGGGGAGCTAACTGGCAATCCAATGCCTATCTCAATGGCCAGTCTCTCTCCTTTAGGGTCACAACCACTGATGGAGAGACAAGAATTTTTCAAGATATTGCCCCTTCAAATTGGGCCTTTGGCCAAACATTCTCAAGCTCGGTTCAGTTTTAGGGTTCAGGATTTGGGTTTCAGTGGCAGCGGCGTGCTTATTATTTTACTAAAAGCAGCCCGCCAAATTTTGAATTTTACACTATATGTGGTGGTTATGAGGAAGAAGAACAAGCTATAGTGATGATGGGTTGAACCTATATGAATGAAATCAAGGCTAAAAATTCATTTTTTTTTGAGTTTTTTGCACTTGAGAGGTCACAGAGCTTGTGGATGTCGAGATTATTTCAATACTATATTGAAAAATTGTTATACATACTAATAAGAAGCTAGCGCGGTTGCATCGCAGCTTCATGACATTATTATTGTTATTATTTTACTTCAAATTGTATGCTTGCAATGTATTATATGAATGTTGTCATGATATTTTTTTCATCATTCTGTGAGAATAAAACAGTCTTTCTTTCTGCTTGATTGATATGGAGATCATTGACTTGTACATTTGACTAGCTTGTTCCCATTTTGAGGGTTTACTTTTCAACTTGCTTTTGTTTTATGCTTTCTTCAACTGCAATTTATAGGATACAAATCAACCCAAAATAACAATAATATAGGGAAAAAAAAAATTGTCACTACAAGAAAAATAGGATATTACCACATTTTTTTTCCTGTCGTTTTTTAAAAATGTTGTGGAAATCAAGGCTAAAAATTCATTTTTTTTGAGTTTTTTGCACTTGAGAGGTCACAGAGCTTGTGGATGTCGAGATTATTTCAATACTATATTGAAAAATTGTTATACATACTAATAAGAAGCTAGCGCGGTTGCATCGCAGCTTCATGACATTATTATTGTTATTATTTTACTTCAAATTGTATGCTTGCAATGTATTATATGAATGTTGTCATGATATTTTTTTCATCATTCTGTGATAATAAAACAGTCTCTCTTTCTACTTGATTGATATGGAGATCATTGACTTGTACATTTGACTAGCTTGTTCCCATTTTGAGTGTTTACTTTTCAACTTGCTTTTGTTTTATGCTTTCTTCAACTGCAATTTATAGGATACAAATCAACCCAAAATAACAATAATATAGGGGAAAAAAAAATTGTATGGTCCACATTTTTTAGCATTTAGAAAAACAAAAATTTAACAAAAAATATTTTTTTCATAGTCAACTGAAAATGAGTTGTCTTTGGTAAAAGCTATTTTATACTTTTTAAAGGAGGAATAATGTTATCAATACTATCACAATCACCGCTCCCACGCCCCATCACCACCACCACCATTGCCGTAGTCACTCTACAACCATCACTTCCACTGCCAAGGGGTAAATGGTAGCGGGTGGTGGCTAGTGTTGGGTGGTAAAAAAAAAAAAAACAGAAAACTCAAAACGGAAACATATTTTTTGTGTTTTTATTTTTTAGCCAAATTTATAAACTGAGACTACTGATTTATAAATAAAAAATTTTACCAAACAATTTGTTATTTGAATTTTTAAAATTTTTATAAATATAAACAGAAAATAAAAAATGTCTAAGTACTTACAGTTTCTCCCCCTAGTGTCCACGCAAAGTTTGCTAAATATTATTACTATAATTTAGTTACATAGATTAAAATCCTAAGAAATCATTACAAAACACTTAAAAAGATAAAATATGATTTTGTTGCTTCGAATTTAGCAAAATTCAATTTACAAAGAAGGGGAAAAAAAATACAATTTGAACCGACTTTTACAAGTAGAAAATCACACTCGGATCAGTTAAAATCCTTGATCGCAAGTAGTTGTCAGAAAATCACAAGATGAAATTTGAAATTGAAAAGAAAATCGAATGGGTAAATATTAAATCAGAAAATAAATCTAAAAATCACAAATCACAAATCTCAAAAGAAAAATACTAATCTAGGGACAATTTATTTATTTACCATAAATGAAAATACTTGAAAAGACCCAAGTTTACTATTCATTTCCAGCTTTTTGCCGGGATATATTTGGATCAGTGACAAATATTAGAAAATTTTAGTTACAGAAAAATTAGGACACGAATGGGATTTCTCTCTATTGTTTGGGGGCAAAGCATAAATTGACAAATAAGATTCTTCATTCTTATATTCTGAGGTTTGCATTGTGCCCTCATTTCTTTCTTTGGTTGCAAATAAATTTTTTTTTGGGCCTTTGCCTTCGGCTTGGGCCTTTGAGTCATCCGACGAATACTTTAATTTCGAGACCTGTATAAAAGGGTTGGAAATATTTTGGGCTCTAATTTTGGACTAATTTTTGAGGACGACCACCACCTCAACAACACCACCATTAACATCATTTTCATGGTTGGAATCAAATCAGAAAAACATAATTCAGAATTTTTTTTTTTTTTTTTCTGTCAAAAATATTTTTTTACCAAAATAAACAAAGTGGCCATAGACAACGATTTCTATTGTGACAATCTCGATAGGAGTGAACATGGTCTGGATTGGGATATAATCAGGACAAATCTGCTATCTACACTTCTTGAAAAATTGGAACCAATTCAATCACTTTAAATTCTGGTACCAATCCGTTCAAACATGGATTGGATCAGTTTAAGACTACGAATTCACATAATTAAATAACAAAAAATATATAGAATGTTTTAATTTCATAAAAACATAAGCATAGCATCAAACAAAAGCAACAAACAAAAGCAATAAAATTGGATATACATTACCGGATTTGGATCGGATTGGATTACGGATTATACGGATTTCTTATTTAGCCCTAAGTCTCGATATGACTGATGGCAAATTTGAATAAGAAAATGGGTTAATTTTGTAGATAAAGATTTCTATTGCATTTATGTACGGTTGGTTTGGGTGCTATTTTTGGATCATTTTGATCCCACATTCTAGTTTAATGGAATCTTTATTTGTTGATAAATAATAATAATAAAAAGTTACAAATTTTATTATTTATCCCCTGTCAGTCAAAATTTCAGGGCAATAAAATTTTAAAACTAAAAGAATAAACATGATCCATGCAATCCAAAACAAACCTTGCTTTCATGGTTTGGAGGTTTCTGTATTATAATTGACACTTCCCTTAATTGTTGCATAATATGCCTTCTGTACAAGTTGTTACCACACAAAGCTACAGTGCATGGGGACATGGTTGTTGGCTAGATCTTGGATTAATGTACCAAAATTAATCAAATTCTATGTTTAAAACCTTAAAAAACTCAAGAGGATTAACAAGATTTTGATCATGAATAGTTGGATGAAGATTTTCGAATTGTCTATTTCTTAGACCGGTCCCCCTTGATTACATGAATTTGGAAATTAAGATTAGATCATATGGGTTTAATTAAATGGGATAATAAATTTAATTGTTCAACCTTATCTACCTAATATGTTCTCCATCTTCTTTCAAGTTGGTAATTAAGGCCTTAAAATAGTTTAAGTTATGACTTACAAGTCAATCCTAAATTAAGGAAGAAAAGAAATGGCCAAAACGACGTCGTTTTGGCCATTTGAGCTACTTTTGAGCCACAAAATTTGAGCTACGTAGCATTGTCGAATTTTTGAGGACGACCACCACCTCAACAACACCACCATTAACATCATTTTCATGGTTGGAATCAAATCAGAAAAACATAATTCAGAATTTTTTTTTTTTTTTTTTCTGTCAAAAATATTTTTTTTACCAAAATAAACAGAGTGGCCATAGACAAGGATTTCTATTGTGACAATCTCGATAGGAGTGAACATGGTCTGGATTGGGATATAATCAGGACAAATCTGCTATCTACAGTTCTTGAAAAATTGGAACCAATTCAATCACTTTAAATTTTGGTACCAATCCGTTCAAACACGGATTGAATCAGTTTAAGACTACGAATTCACATAATTAAATAACAAAAAATATATAGAATATTTTAATTTCATAAAAACATAAGCATAGCATCAAACAAAAGCAACAAACAAAAGCAATAAAATTGGATACACATTATCGGATTTGGATCGGATTGGATTACGGATTATACGGATTTCTTATTTAGCCCTAAGTCTCGATATGACTGATGGCAAATTTGGATAAGAAAATGGGTTAATTTTGTAGATAAGGATTTCTATTGCATTTATGTACGGTTGGTTTGGGTGCTATTTTTGGATCATTTTGATCCCACATTCTAGTTTAATGGAATCTTTATTTGCTGATAAATAATAATAATAAAAAGTTACAAATTTTATTATTTATCCCCTGTCAGTCAAAATTTCAGGGCAATAAAATTTTAAAACTAAAAGAATAAACATGATCCATGCAATCCAAAACAAACCTTGTTTTCATGGTTTGGAGGTTTTCTGTATTATAATTGACACTTCCCTTAATTGTTGCATAATATGCCTTCTGTACAAGTTGTTACCACACAAAGCTACAGTGCATGGGGACATGGTTGTTGGCTAGATCTTGGATTAATGTACCAAAATTAATCAAATTCTATGTTTAAAACCTTAAAAAACTCAAGAGGATTAACAAGATTTTGATCATGAATAGTTGGATGAAGATTTTTGAATTGTCTATTTCTTAGACCGGTCCTCCTTGATTACATGAATTTGGAAATTAAGATTAGATCATATGGGTTTAATTAAATGGGATAATAAATTTAATTGTTCAACCTTATCTACCTAATATGTTCTCCATCTTCTTTCAAGTTGGTAATTAAGGCCTTAAAATAGTTTAAGTTATGACTTACAAGTCAATCCTAAATTAAGGAAGAAAAGTGGGTGCATGTAAATTCTCTTCTGGTTGATGATGTAGGGGTGATTGACAACAAATTTATAGAGCAGTTTAACTATTTTATGAAAAAATGGTAATGTTGCTTGGTCATTGGATTAAACTCAAAACACACCTATATTCGATTGGTACAACTAGTTCAAATCACAACCATACAGTAACATGTGCTGAATTAGACATCCATATTAGAAAATTTGCTATAATTGGAAATACTTTGAATACTTAATTTTGTGGTGTAAATAAATTTGTTTTGAGCCACATTTTCTCTAGAAAGATTCTTTATATTCTAGATCCTAGATTTTAACCTAACTCAAATCTCCAAAATTATGCAATTTTGGTTCAATTTGGGACATGAGAGGGTAATTTATATGAAAATTGGGCCGAGCTGGGTAATGGGCCGTTATGGGCCACAGTGCGAAGGGCTGAGTAAAAAGGCCATGAAGTTACTCCGGCCCAAGAGAGGTGTAAAGTTACTCCGGCCCAAGAGAGGTGTAAAGTTACTCCGGTTCCAAGGAGGTTAGCTCGGTCACCATACTAAAACTTATACCGGTTATGGCACAGTATGGTTAGCTCGGTCTAAACCTTGCTAAAAGTTAGCTCGGTTTAGACCTACCACGGTTTGTACAGGAGGAACTGAGGTAAGGGCAGTAAAATGACGAACCGAACTAAGGATAGTTTGGTCTGTTCTACGGCTAAGCATAGCCATACGCAT